CCATGCGCGTAAGAATGGGCGTCATGGTATGTCCATGTCCATGTATGTCCCACGGGTGTCATGGTAACCAATCATGTTGGGTATTGCGACATACGAAAGCGACTTCAAAATTGACTTTAGTGCCTCACCTTCGTGTATTCGCTTTCTCCTGTCCACGTTCTACGCTGCGCCACGTCCTGTGGCGGCCAAGCACCGTTGCCGCCCTTTTATATCGCGAGGGCTGTGATGGGTATAGGTAGCGCCACCATACCTCATTTCGTGGGTCCAATACCAAAGTACGCACGCATGAAGTATGTAAGCATTGTATGCAAGCAAATATAGGTAAGGTAGAAATATCACACGGCAGAAGAACATATGCTTTCCATTTCCGAATCCAAATGTGGTAGGGTTATCTGCGCCAGGGTATTCAATGTCTCAACAGCTTTCGTAAATTCTTGCATGACATCTTGAGGGAAAGCGTCTTTGCCATGCCCCGGGGTACGCGTGCCAGCAGTGCCAGCTGCGATGTCATCAATACTGTCGTCTGGTACGTTAGCGCTTGGTGTATCAAGCATCGTGGGGCTGAGATCAGTGAAATGACTAGCAATTTCTGTCCATTCTCCTCTTACAACCGACGAATGAATGCCGTCCCCTGCCTGACGCGCGGTTGGCACAGGAGATTGTGAAAGAACATCACCTGTGTTACCAGAACCGGCACATGAGACGTCTACTTCAATGACAGACGAGTCAACCATTACATACATGGCACTAGGCGATGTTACTGGTGTATTTTCACCAGTGGCAACTGTGATACTTTCATCAACCCCTTGAAAAGACGTGCTCTGTTGGGGAAACGTTGGGCGTGGAGAAATTGATGCACATCTCATGTCATGAGCAGCTTTTTCAATGAGATAGCTAGCCACATATCGTGTTTTTTAGCGACAATGTCATATTCCGCCCTATGCTTACATTTCATGTGGCGGGGCAAATTCTTGGCTATGACCCTAACGTTACACGCGTAGCATTTGAGTGCGACTATCCTCTTGTGCGATGGATAACTCGATCGAGGTTTAGGGATTTCCGCAAAGCAACGTCTGTCCCAGCTGTTCAAGCAAATGTCGATGGTATAATATCATCCAATACCTAAACAACACCCTTACAAGTGCTTGCAGCACGGACTCCTCACCAGGTGGACGAGACGCACTGAAAAAGACATCAGTAATTAACGATGCATCTCTTTCATGCTGACCTATTAACTTTGCACTGACCTGAGTATGACTAGTCATACGCAATGTCGCACCCTGGGGCAAAGCACAACATTCAAGACAATATCAGCACGTGCCGATTACAAACATATCACCACGCTGGACCACATGTCACTGAACGACTTCGTCATTTCAATACCCTTCATAGTATAATTGTGACACCTACTGTGACACCTATTTGACGTAATGTACAGAAGTTCGTGTCACAAGGCAATTGGCGCAAAACTTAGTAGCAGCACAAAGAGCACATGTCATGTACACATAATTGTCGAGGGATCACAGAGCACTCTACTGTCAATGCGGGCGGCGACATAGTCACGCTGGGGATATTGCGACACAAATGACAATGAGATTTACAGACGCAACGCCGTAATCAATCCCACGCATATCAATACGCTCTCGAAGAAAAAACCAAGACCAAGGTGAGACGTGAAAAATAACCGACCGTGCATTACCATGATAAAATTGCCGAGATTCCGGGTGAAACGAAGCCAAATAGAGATGTCAGCAAAATCAGATGTAATGCCAGGTCGATCAGGCGGACCAAGTTGTGCTGGGCCAATGAGTCTATACAACGCAGAGCAAAAATATATTAACGCTTTTGTTTCATTGAATGGAAACCCCGCTTGCCTCTCCTTGGTCAACTGCCAGCTGGCTTTTCGATAGGGGGGACGGGGAGGCGGACCGCGCACCCGCTTCCGACCACAGATCCGGCAGTTGGGGACGGTGATGTCCGGTTCAACTCCATTGTCGAGGGATTAGGGCGTGATATGTGGAGTTCCTCCCGGTAGTGTCACCAATGTTTTAGTCTCGGCGTTGGCATTTCAGCTTCGAGTATGAGGCAGTGCTCAGATTGAAATGCCTGCCAACCTCTTACCCCCACTAGATTTCGGAAAAAATGCCAGATTTAACTAATTTCATTCTGACACCAGCAAGATAATTCCCGTTGTTGGCTTGGTTTCTGGGGCACCTTTACTGTTTGGGGTTTCACCTCATAGTCAGGCTAACGCTCGCCCTCACAGGGGGAGGAGGGTTTCCCCTGGGTTTTCTGAGGGTATCTCTCCGGCGTACTGTGAGATCGCATTCATATTCTCGGTAGACTATGGTGGTTTTATTATGCGTATTTTGACATACCAATGTTCTTCTTGCCTTTCCAAGCAGTGACATTTTTTAGGAATGTAGCACGCCGATTCACGCCCGGCGCTGGCAGCAGGCGGCAACTCACGTATTCGTCGATCGCACGCGGCGGCCCGACACCGTTACATCAACGGAGCTCAGCCCCATGAACATATGCTTAAAATGCATAAAACTGTATGTTAACTGCACTGCATCCAGTGTTATACAAAATGCATGTGTACATTTCGTGTCGTTGCATGAACTGGCTTCATAAATGTGGGCAGACACAGTTGGAAAAGTGAGCTTTTCGGGGAAATTTGACCTTTGACTGGGCATAGTGAGATCAATCATTGACCTAACAACAAATAAGTGATTACCAATCTCTAAAACTCGTTGAGAACAATCCGCTTGAGTTCAGTTCCGCGAGACTCTTTCCTTCTTAGCTTGGAAAAGGCAGGGGATCGTATTGACTCCATGCCCTCTACAACGTCCACTACCACCATCAGCCGGCGTTATGGAACAGCGTGAATCAGGGCCAGGCTTCATGACATAGGTATGTGAATCAATGCCTGGATCTCCGTTCCACTAGTCTGATAACTTACCTAACCAGCATACGACAGGGCGCTGACCATTTGAGTGACAAACACTCAAACACATCAAACACTCTCCATGTGGTTGACCCAGTAAGGGCTGCCAGCCAAAGGTTCGGCGCTGCTTAACTTTTGTATATTGGTTCGACGTTTAAGTTAGTCAGAGCCAACGAGCTGCTCTTGGGAGCACTTATTCGTGAACAAATAAACCAGGCATGTATGCAAAATAGGCAACTAAGCATTTTCCCCATGCTGCCATGTTGTCGGGGATAGGCCGACGAAACATTCTCGATCAACTAACAACTTATCGGGCGCGTGAGGCCAAAGACAACAATGTAAGCAGGGCCTCCATGCCCATAGTGTCCGCCGACACTGCTAACTTTACGGATCGAGGAGACCGGACTTTGGACTGTCAGAACAAAATTCATCTCGTCGAGGGGGAGGGGTAGCCAGTCAAAGTGGCCCTCATTAAACAGGAACTTTGCCTCCAGTACGTGGGAGATGTGACTCGCGGGATGGGGCGAAGTTAATTGGGAATGCGACGAATGATTGTAGCATATGGTGACTGTGGGATGAATGAGCAGAACAGAATACGAATCAGTAAATGATAAGGGCCGATAGGAACAACGAGAGCTCAGCAGAGAGAAGAGATGGGCTATTAACTCCGGCTCAAATCAAGTAATGTTTAAGCGAAAGGCAAACTAGCGGAGAGTAGGCGGCATTCTCTGTTGGCCGTAACGTAACCCAAGTCGTGTCGGGCGGGTACAGCAGGGACCACTCAACAGACTTCTTCCAGTATCACTTCCCTAGCTCAACCTCCACCCGGAGCAGTGACGTGACCTTACCTAAATGTCTCAAGGAATTGCTCATCCTCACACATGCACAGCGCGGGTACAGCTCATTGCTCATCTCACACGTTCTGAGCGCGGAGTACAGTGGTTCTTTGCAGGACAGCCAGGTTGCATGAACATATGGGGACATTACTGGCCCACAATGAAAAAGGTCATGAAGAAACAAAATAAACACCACCACCGACTTCGCAAATTGCAAATGGTCCAGAAACCAAATTAATAATAGTTGCAAATGTTGCAGAATATTGCAGCCTTTCATAATGCAAAATAAACATCAATGGACCCTGTGATTATCGCAAACACTCAAGGAAAAATGAATCCAATCAATGGTGAAATTTTGCAATTGCTTGAAAACTACAGGACGTTGCAACACCGTCTGGTGGTTAATAAAAGGAGATATATCCCTAGTACCGCCTCCATTGTTCACACAACGCACGGAAGCTTCCATAAAGATGATTTGAGAAATCACTGCAAAGGGTTGCTACATGTTGCAAAAACGCTTAACGACTGTACAAAGCCAAATAGCGCCCTGGAATCACATCCAGCCTACTCGTTAGTATAAGCCCTCCGAGATAAAACCATGCATAGCTGCAGTACTGCAAAAATGTCGCACATTGCAGGCAGCACACCACGTTGCAACACTACAGTGGTACGTGATATTTGGCAAACATCCATTGTTATGCTTTACATCAACTTATGTGATGATATAGTTATACGTGATGTAACTTTGTACAACTGAGGCTGCTGCACTCGCACAATTAATGCAATACAGACTAATCCAACCGGGATTAGAGCATACGAATCGTAGATGATTGAGCACTTGTCGATATTTCATGACAAGCCTTATTGCGACCCCATCCCTGGTGATGCCCAAATTCATAATGATATATAATTGATTTCTCAGTTATAAAAAATTTGGTACCGTGATTATGAATCTTGAAACGTGAGTCTTGCACAAAGAGAATAAAACGGATCCAGGAATCCAGGGAGGTAGCTAAAAAACAATACAACAGATTTATGGATTAAAATTGAATGCAGGCACGCACGCACGCACGCACGCACGCACGCACGCACGCACGCACGCACGCACGCACGCGCGCGCGCGCGCGCGCACGCACACACACACACACACACACACACACACACACACACACACACACACACACACACACACACACACACACACACACACACACACACACACACACACACACACACACACCTGTTTGTAAGCCCTCCCAAGTGGGGACCGCGCTGGACTACTACCGAGTGGGGACCACTTACACACCTTAAACATGAGCTAGCGTTACGAAATTAACATCTTAGTGCTGCTGAACACCCGAAGAGTGCGATGGTAAGCATTTCGTAGGTCTAGCAATAAGGGATCAATATCCGTAGGATGCTGCGAAGCGGGGACCAGCTAACATGACGTCAAAGGTGCGTCATATGCCTTACACTTATCAAGCTAGGGACCGGTCTCCGCATTGTAAGGTGTATCTAAACTGCCTTCATTGATGACATGGAAAGAAAGGGAATTTGGGTGATAACGTCGGTTCAGTCACGTTGGCGAACCAACTGATAGAGAAATGGAACTTGGTTGCCGATGGTTTGCCTGCACATCCTTTGTGTTGGAAGGAGCCGTGATATTTATGTTGATGTGTTATATTATTTCATATTTGTATTATATTGTATTTCATTGTTATATACACACTATATTGCATTATATAATGCTATATTTGCATTTTATTGTAATATGTTATGTGATGCTCCTATTATGTTGCTATATTTGTATTATATTGTACTATATTATGTTATATTTGACGCATGGCAAGAGCTACACGCAACTTTTCGGTTTGCAAGAGATGATTTTCACTTCTTATGCCTACTCTTATGCTACATGTTATGCCTTGTTCTTGGTTGTCATTACAGTCCAAAATTATGTCTCTTCGTCTGTGTTCGAAATTTTTTCCAACAAGTTGACGCCAAAACTTCGTCAAGACAGGACGCATAACATTGTGTGCGAATTAAAAGTTGCGAAACTATGTGGTATTACATCACATTTAGGTGGTTGACTTCAAAGCATGAATAATGCGTAAAATGAGAACAGTACAAAAATCTGAACCTCCTTGCATTTTCCAACAATCCGAGTTCTTCCGCTGATGTATTTTCATTACCCCTGTCTTCGGTACCTGGCCGGTACCTGTCTGACCAGCCCACGGCATAGATGAAGAGCAATCACAATAGCAAATTACTGCTTTGGTTAGAGTGTCAGGCGACGCCATATGACCTCAGCAGGTGAGTGCGTCGTAAAGCCCCAATGAAGACGATGACGACAACCACGATCAATCGATAGTCCTGATCGACGATGATCGACGAGTCCAGATCGACGACGATCTGGGGCAGGTCAGGGCAGTCAGCTATGCGGGTCACAAAATCGGTTTCAAACTTCTTGACATAGGTCATTCACTGCACTCTGTAAGGCAATGTTGAGGTCTCCCGACGGGGGCTTTCTGCTATTCATTTTTGTTTTTTGTGTTATTTCCATATGGGGAGGGCAGGACGACCCAGCAAATCCATCAGTTCCGATAACGGTCCACCACAAACACTCTTTTGCAAAATATTCCTTAGTTTGTTTGCAAACGGGTCAAACAACCACACCGCAAAGTAGGGTTTGCAACATAACACAACAGAGGATCTAACGTCCGGAGCCTCTCGAGCTTGCAGATAAAAGAACATTGCCACCGCAAGGCAGCGATTGCACACAACGCAGCAGGGGATCTAGATATGGAGCACTCCAAGCTTTCAGCTGAAACTACATTTCCATGGCACGCTTGTGCTTCTGGATCATATTGTAGGCACAGAACTTAACATCCTTCCAGGAACGCCGGGACAGTGCAGACTCCTCCTTCAGTGCCGCTAGGCAGTCTGCCATTCCTGGGCACTTCAGAGAACCAATAAATGGCTTCATGCGCCTCTGTATGGCCTCCTTTTTTCTTTCAGTCCACAGCACGACCTTCCTTTTGGCTTTGGGCCTTCTTTCACTAATCCTTGGCCCCCTGGGTGGTCTGTTTTCTGCTTCAGCTTGGGGATCGGAAGCCATCTCTTTAGCGTTCTTCACCTCCATCTCCACCCCCATGTCGTCAGGGGCAATACTGCTGGCGCAGTCCTTCATGTCGACACTGGGAGCGGGACCACCTTCGACGACATCGTCACTGCTGCGAATCCGCCGATCCCTTTGTCCATCGCGAGTAGTATTTTACTCACTTTGGCAGCATGCACCGTCTTTTCGGGAAGTCTATAGAACTGCCTGTGGACCCGTATGTCATGGCCCATAAAGCGGCCACGATATCCATTTCGGTCTCGCTCAGTTGCAGCACCTGCAGCATAGTGGCCACATGCTTTCTGTACTTCGTGGCTGTGATGTTGTTGACACGTGCCCTTCGCGCGAATGTCCGCACGCAGTCGCTGCCTATGAGCGTGCTCGCATCTGGGGCTGTGCTGTTGACGAAAATGTGTGGACAGTCGAGAGGGATCCCAACGTCTTTCCTCGCTGCGATCAGCTGATCAAGCGCCCCTCGCATTGTGGCTGTCAGCATGATGGGCACATCGCCTCCTTTTTTGCCCCGAACCACTACATGTCCCAGCGAATGGCATAGCTCTCGCTCTAAGGGAGACAGGTGCTGCAGGACATCTTCATTGAGAGTTTGGTCCCTTTCAGTGTATGATCTGACCGTAAGCCTTGACGCTTCTCCCGGCCTTCGCCGGTTAAACAAAATGATGGATGCCAACGCAGCCCCCGACAATTTAACATAGTTCTTGATAGAGCGTTCCTCTTCCAACAGCCGCTGAGCCTGTACCAACTCATCCTGCACCTCCTTCGTTACACTCTGAACATCCGCATTGAGGGGAAGGTCGACGGGCTTATTCCACTTCCTTTCTTGGAGAGTGGTAAGCGCACGAGAAGACACGTGTAGCTTCCAATCTCGTTGGTAGAGCAGGAGGAAATCGTCCGCAGCCGTCCTCAGGGTGGCGTCTTCGTAGGTGATCCCGCGCGTTTTCAGTACGCCCGCGCATTCACTGAGGGCATAACCAAGCCTGAGAGCAAGCGATGGGTTATGATATTTGCCCTCCTTCACACCGGCCAGGTTCTTGACCGCGCCTGCCACCTCCATGAACTTTGCGGGGTGAATAAACATCTCTAGAGCTGATCCTGGGCTTGGTGCATTCAGCTCCAGCAGCAGTCGTCCCAGCTGCCGCATTTGTTCTCTGATGTGTGCTTGTTGATAGCGCTCGTGGCCCAGTCTTGTGTAGAGACGGGCCCCGAACTCCATCATAAGGGCATCCTGCCTGCAAGTGGACGAAATACTATCGTCTCGCATCTTCGCCATCAGGTTTTCTAAGCCAGCCGCGGCATCTCTGTGGCACGGCAGCAAGGACCTTCCCTGGGACTGGACTCGGCCCCCAGAGGCAGTTTTCCCATGGGCGTGGCACCGATGCCGAAAGAGGCTGCATCGAGAAAAGAAACCGTGATATTTCCCACATGGCAGCATATCTTTCACGTTGACATTCATATTTTGGGGGTGGACGCCTCTTGGGGACGATCGTTCCTCGCCCATCTCGGAAAACAGCAGAGTTATGTTTGAAATTGCCGTTATGAATGGTGCCTTCCAGAGTAATTCTCCTCTCCCTTGATCCTTTTGGAAAGGCGAGCGCGTCAAGTACGTCGGGTTCTTGTTTATGCTTCCGGAAAAGATGGCACGCAAATGTTGTGTGCAGGGTATCGCAATAGGGACAAACGTTCCGCTTTAGGGATGGCTTTCTTTTTTTAGGAGATTTTTCAACAGAGACACTGTGTTCGCCGGAAGCCCTACTGCTGTTCTTGGCCACTACCTGGGCCTCATCCTGGTCCTCATTCTTGTCTTTGACTTCCTCCATATCCTGGTTCTCGTCCATATCCTTGGACTTGCCCTTGTCATCGTCCTCGTCCATGTCCTCGTCCATGCCCTGGTCCTCGTCCTCATCCGTGTCCGTTGCTGGCCGTGGGTCGGGGAGGTACGTAGGATCTTCATCTTCATCGTCATCAGGAATGAGGCCAGAAGCATCATTATCATGATCTGCGGACAGAGCGATCGCCATTGGTTACCTAGTGACGAGTATTAAGCAAAAACGAAAACAAAAAACCAGTACGTCGGAAGAGGGATCGTTCGGGTTACCCAACGATGCGCTACAGTGCCAGACCTATCGGAGTTGCGATTCTTAAACCGAGGGGACCGAGACACAATGCGCCGGTGGTCAGAGGCGAACCAGGGTACTTTTGGCCCCGAAGCCAACGCCTTAGCCAACTAACCCACATGGCCAAGTGGCTGTGTAACCAAGGGAACATCGATTCATGGGGCGTCGGTCTACTGACCCCGCTCGGTGCTAGGGTACGGGCAAGTGCGTGGTTGGCCACAGTTACTCTGTGATGCCTACTACATGGGATCACGTTGGTGCGTGTGTCCAATTCAGGGCCGTCGACCACCTGCTGTTCACCTGGTAAATACACCCGCGCCCCAAGTTTGCGCATCAAACTCCCAGCGGGATGTGCAACAATCGCCGGGTGCATCCACGTCCGTCCGTGGAGCCTTGGTGCCTCCACGCACCATCCCATATCACGAACGGAGCGCGGCGACGAGGTCATATCGCGGCCACCAGCAGCCCACCATGGGGTATGGCGGTCCCATAGAGCACCTCAGTGCTGCGCAACGATTACTTACAGCCCTTGGTGCTTTCGGCGCCGCGTGGGGTTGCGCGCGCGCGCGCCTCGTCCATGTTCGTTGCTGGCTGTGGGCCGGGCACGAACGTCGAATCCTCATCATCGTCTTCTGCGAATAGACCAATGGTGGTTGGCTACCTGATGACCATTATTCAGGAAAAAATATAACAAAAAATCGTTGGCAGGCAGGACGTTCGGATTATTTAACAATGCACTAAAGTGCCGGACCTATCGGAGTAACGATTCTCATGCCGACGGGACCGAGACACAATGTGCTACTGGCCAGAAACAAAAAAGAGAAAACATGGGACATTGTGAGTTTGAGGCTTACTTATGTCACCGCGACCAGCCTGGCCGACAACAGATTCTAACATCAGCGTATTTGTCACGATGGCAATTGAAGAGAAAATTTGGCGCAGAAGCCATGTGATATTTAAGCGAGGTCAGGCCTGAGGCTCGGCGGGAGCCATTTAGCGATCTAACTACAGCTGGCGGTAGGGGGAGCGAATGGGTGCCCCGGCTGCGCCTCACCGCGGCCCGTGCGATGGGGAGATGGCTTAAGGACTTTCAAATTCGAAAACTTATATATGGTAATGCGTATGGCCGGTGTCGGCCATGCATGTAAATGCCCATGGCCATTCGCACGGCCATAACAGCTGTTGCTGTTGTGGGTCGACTGGCAGGCAACTACGTGCGTGACGCGCGACAACTGTCGACAACGGTCGACGCGTGACAACTGCGTCGCGCCGGAGAAGCACCAAGATGTGCTGTTTGTCTGGAGCCACTCAGCTCCAGATAAAAACAAAATCAGAAGCTAGCATCCCTATTGGCTTTGGACGCCGCTGTGGCCATAGATATCGGAACAATCGGACAAGCGAACGAACAATCGAAGGAAACCACCCACCGCGCACGGCGGACATACGCTGACACATTAACGGAATGTACATCATACGTGTCAGCGCAACACCATTCAAAGGTGTGTACCATTGCGCTCAGAATTAAACAAGAGAATACGTCTGTTTAAGCGTTGCTTCGCCTCATAGCTGGATTTCCGAAACACGGTCATTCAGTTACTTCAATTATCCGGCAAAATTGACCTTCAACCTAGCCTAGTGAGGTCAGTTCTTGACTTCGGAACAAAGGGCTGAAAAATCGCGAGACCACA